GTCGCTGTGGGTGACGGGTTGGCCCATCACACACAGAAACAGGAAGGGAATCAGCGCTTCCGTCATCGCCAAAAGCATGCCCTGAGCTGCCAACCCTGACCTCGGGGGTTGTCAGTGTTAGGTCCCCGGATTGTCACTCTCGCTATTGAGTCAGTGTTTGCTCTGGTAACCAGCATGCCTGTCATCTCAATGACTTCCAACAATAGATATTCATTTCTTGTTCCTGGAACATGAACCTGTTGGTCAGTTAAGATTCTTCTTAACTGATTTAACTTCAGGCCAAAATGTCCTGCTCAGGTTCACCACTGTGTTTGCATTCTGTGGCGCATGTGGGAGGGGGAGCTCCTACCTGGGACATATTTTCCTATGGCAGAGGACACAGGAGCTGAAGAAGCTGGGTTTAACTCTGCAATTTCGCCTGACGCTCCTGCTCATGTGGTCCACGACACATGAGGAATGGGAAAGGGAGGACCTGTTACCAGAGGCCCAACTCTGGGGTCCCAACAAGTCAGGTCCTGCCACTTGCTCCAAAAATTAAATGGAAAATGTATCAACGAAAAAAGCAGGAAAGGAGCTCTGATTATATGGCATCCTGGGAAGACAGGTGGGACCAAGAACTCTGCCCTGCCTTTGGGGTACTGAGATTTGGGGTTAAAGAGGAAGAACTGGGGTCGGAATGAGAGGTCTGCATCATTAAGCAGTGGTCAGACTGTGGTCTGGTTGATCATGATTTCAGTTTTGGTTGTGTGAAGCAGCCCCAGAGGAGTCCTTACTGCACAAAAGGAGGCAATCTCCACTGGCTGCTCAGGATGTATGTCTAGCAGACCTGTGATCCTACAAGGGGGTAACTCATTTCCCATGGGATGATCACTCCTGCTTAGGGGTGCAGTCTCATCAAGAGACCATCTGCCTGCAGGGCTCCCCTGTGCCTGGAAGGTGTAGGGCAATGACTAGAGACTTCTAGGTGCCACTCCAGGGGTTTGGAATAGGAGACTGTGAAATCTGGCAGCGGAATATCCCTGCACATCTTGGAAATGCCTTAATTAGTCTGATCTTGGTGTCTTCAGCCTTGAAGGGGATGGATTCCCAGCTATAGATGAAGGCTTTGTGAATGATTAACACGCAGAGTTGAGCAGAAGGGATGGACCCCCGCTCCCTGAAGTTAATATAAAGAAGACATGAAAAGCAGAGATTCCCAGCCTTTTCCTGCTTTTAGTTACTCTGAGGGCATCTGCTGGCCCAAGGGAAGTGCCTTTAGCAGAAGCAGCTTCTAATTCTCTGTGTGGAGCCTGTCTAGAGCAAGATCAGAGCATCTCTGAAACTCAGAGTAGCCTCTCATAAACTGAAGCTATAGGAAATAGTTGGGTGGAAGGAATTGGAGAGTGACCCCTGGGTATAGAGGGGGCACTGTGTGCATACTCACCCACAGTTGATAAAGCACAAGGGGTGGATGAGTTAGGCTATTTTGGGGTTGAGGTGGGCCCTTGATGCATTGAAACACTCGGGCTGCAGTAACACAACTGTACTAATCCGGGTGCTCCAGACACAGAAAACTATCAGGAGATGGGGAATTATTTGGAGATGGAGTCGTTGCAATTGCACCTAAATTAAAATGAGGTTATTGCGGTTGGCCCTAATTCAATATGACGGGTATTCTTATGGAAAGGGGAAATGTAGACACCGGAACAAATATGAATGTGGGAGTGAGTGCCAGGTGAACAGGAGGCAGAGATCACGTGATGCAGCTTGGACCAAGGAGCACCAAATGGTCTTTAAGACTGCTTTGGTAACACTGATGACCAAACTGCAGCTGTGATCCTAAGAGACTAGCTCTACTTACCACTCACTAATCACAGCTCACCGGCTCTTGCTGGCCCCAAAAGTTCAGTGGAATTTCTTTTAAAATAAGAGGGTGGATAGACTTCTCTGTCCTAATAAAAGCTCCAATCTTTCCTTTGGTCCCCGGACATAGCAGAGGCCACCAGGCCTGTGCTTGTGTGTCCTGGGTAGCAGCCCTGTTCTTTGTTTATTCTGAAATAAAAGTTCCTTTATTGGAGATTCATGTCTATGTGGGTGCTGGACTTTGACAGATCCTTCCTGGATTTTCCTGAAGCTGAAGTTGGCAAAGCAGTTCTGTGTGGCAGAATTATCTAAAAGTGGGCGTCACAGGGGTTGGCCAAGGTGCGAGACAGCAAAGCTAAGCCATTCTCTTATCCTTGAGGCCTGAACATCTCTGATCCTAGTTCCTCGCCTCCTCCTGCCAGAGAACTGGAACTAGCCCCGTCTGCTCCAGGATCCAGGCCTTCCTCCACGGTTCTAGGTCCCCTCTTGCTCCTGCCTTCAATTTTCTTTTCTTCTCATTTCAGAGCCCCCCCCCCCCCCCCCGTGCCCCTGCAAAGCCACCCCCAGAATCTCTGGATGCTCTGCATATTATTCGAGAGGACAGTCAGTTCTCTACTTCATCAGGCACGTTCTGACCGTTCCTTAGGGGGGGAGGCATTTTCATTTGTCAAACTCACAACTATCTAAAGAAGTCATCACCTGAGCAAATCTGCCACGACTTGAAAAATGTAGACGCTTGCCTCTTCTGCTGTGTTCTGTCTTGAACTCCTAGGTCGCCTGTCACTTGACCCTGTCCTGTATACTGTACCACTGCTGATCTTGTATTTGTGCATTTTCGTTTATGAGCCTCTGAGCCCCTGGGGTCTGGTTTTTATCTGTGTAGGCTGGTGCTTGGTGTTTAATGAACGAGGGAACAGATGCCCAAGACTGGGGAATCCAGGGCAGGAGCCGTGGAGAGACTGACCACCTGGAGGACTGGGATTCGTACTCGGGGAAGAGGGACAGAAGGACAGTTGAGGAGAGCCTGGAATACCAGGGTCTGGCATTTACCCTCATTCTGTCGGTGCTGGGAGGTCTTGCAAGGCTCTGAGGAGGGAGTCATCGGGTTGACCAGGGGTTCCCAAAATCTCTGCTCCCAGGACCTCTTTACACCCTTAAAAAATTATTAAGGACTTTCAAAGAGCATTTGTTCATGTGGGTTGATATTTACCATCGTAGAAACAAAAATGGAGACAGTTTAAAAGTATTCATTTAAAAACAAAACCCTGTGTTAGCTGTTAACAGAAATAAATACCTTTAATGAAAATGACTGTGTTTTCCAAAATCAAAATAAGACTGGTGAGAAGGGAGGCGTTGCTTTATAGGTCTGTGGGGGAGGAGGACTACCTTTTCATCTCCCTGGTGCTAGGTTCACAGCTAAGGTCCCAATGACAGAAGAGATTAATAAGAGAAAAGCATACACACCTCTTTAATGTCAGTTTTATTTGCTGTGGGAGCCTCATAAGGAAATGAAGATCTGACGACACCGTAAACCTGTGTGTTTTTATGCTTGGTTGGATGAGGAAGTGAGAAGTCATGGAGAAGCACGATTGGATAAAAAAGGATGATCTAATGGTCATAAACCCAGGTGAGCTTAGCACGGCCTATTTGTTCAATATCCTCGCCAGCCCTGTGTGTTCAGAGAGAGGCTGTTCCTTTTTTCTGGGCACAGGGAGGTCCTTTCAAACGAGGTCCTCTCTACCTGCTTGGGGATGGGGGAGAAGGTGAGAGTGACCTTCCCCATCCTTCTGTTTTCCCAAACGCCCAGGTGCTGGATTTCGAGGTAGTGCGTCCTGAACCCCATCAGGTTTGTGCCATGTCTTTCATTTAGAAGGAAGCTGGAGTCGCACATCTGGTTCTCTGTTTGATTGAGAGAGTTGGGAAAGCAAGCATCTGAATAGCTTGTTCACATATCACGGGTGTTGTTCTTTCCCAGTCTCCATTGGCCTTGTGGGCGAGACAGCTCTTTGCTGAGGGGTCTTCCTGTGCATTGCAGGGAGTTTAGCATCAACCCTGGTTTCTACCCACAGGATACAACAGCACCCCTCCTCCACCCCCAGCTGGGCTACCAAAAACATCTCCTGACATGGCCGAATTTGCCTCCTTCCTCTTGCTGAGAACCACAACGCACCCAAACTCAAAACTCAAGGTCGTTTCTTCATGACTTCTTTCAGTGTGGACTCTGAAACCCTATCGATAAAGTTCACAGATTCTGTTCCACATGGACTGTTAGCATCCCCCCAAATTTACATGTTGAAATCTCTGTCACCTTATTTATTCAGAAGTAACAGCACAGAAAGGCCTGGTCACTTCAGAGGACGGGTCACTCTCTCCGGGTGTCTTCCTTGGAGAGCTCCTGTATCACACCAAGAAAACCCTTCCTGTTCTTTCATGGCCCGTCAAGAGGCTTCCTCCGACAGCCTCGCTCTCTGCTCTCCTCACCCCTTGCTGTATGGCTGCCAGACTTCATCATGGCCACCTCTGTGTTTCTTCTGTACACCTGTCCCCCCTACCCTGCCCTGTGTCACAAGAAATCGCTCACACTGTGCCTTCTCTCCCTCTCTCTTTTTTTCTTCTCTGGGGCATTGGGGATTGAACCCTGGGCCTTGTGCATGCTAGGCAAGAGTTCTACCACTGAGCCACACTCCCAGCTCCTTCTCTATAGGGTCTCAGTCAGCTGCTGAGGCTGGCCTTGAACTTGTGACCCTCCTGCCTCAGCCTCCTGAATGGCTGGGGTTACAGGTGTGCACCACCATGTGGGGCATAGGGTGTGCTCTCTTTGGAGGCTGGAAGTTATAAAAGGTCAAGGACTATGTCATGTTCACCATTGTTTATCCCACTCCTGCCATGAACAGAGCCGGGAAGATATCAAATGCTCAAGACATATTTATTAAAGGATCAGTGATTGAAAGCGTGAAGACTGGGGATCCAGATAGGTGCTCCTCTAACCCACAAGCTCCCACGCAGGACACGTGTGCACGAAGGCCCAGGTGTGGCTGCACACATGCACACAGAAACGTGTGCCTGAGGGAGGACCTCTGGGTTAAAATCCATCTTAGATTTCCATCTTTTTAGCAGAAGAACAGCAGGGTTTCCCAGGCTGACCTGAAGCATGAAGTCCAGGGTGTGAGCAGTGGGAGAACCTTCCCTCAGTTCAGGGAAGGAAGAACCTGGGCATGAAAGTCCAGGAAAGGGAGCACTTCTTCTGGTCCCAGTAAAAGATGCTTCTCGAATCTTGAATTTGGCTTATTTGGGGCCTTGGCCCACATTGGAGTAACTTGGCACTGAGTTTGGCGGTTCTGGGATGACCACTGGGTTTGTTGCATAGACATTTGGGATGACCGTGCCCACCTGGAAAACAGGCACATGCTATGGTTAGGTTAGGGTTTGTTCTCCAAGGTTCACAGGCTGGGAGCTTTGACCCCAGTGTGGTGGTGGTGTTGAGGGGGTGGGGCCTCTAGGTGGTGGGGCCAGGGGAGGGGGCTCCACCCTCATGAAGAGAGCAGGCTGGGTCTCACAGAAGTGAGTTGGATTTTGCAAGAGGGGTTTGTTATAGAATGAGGCTACCCCAAAGGCCTGGCCTCTTCTGCACTAGGGGTTTCCTTTTCTATTTTTCTGCCATGTTGTGAAGTAGCCAGAGAGTCTTTGCCAGCTCTCTGGTGCAATGTTGTTTGAAACCTTCAGTCACCAGAAACGAAAGCTAAATAAACTTCTTTATAAGTTACCCAGCCTCAGGTGTCTTGTAATAGCAACAGAAAATGGACTAAGACAACCCAGGACTAAGGGAAAAGGAAGGACAAGCCTGTGTGGAGGCCCTGAGATGCTGCATGGCTCCCTTGCTCCTGGATAAGGAATGGGAAACACGAAGACCCTCTGCTTTCATTGTCTTGGGGAATCTGTGCCCTGGGACTCACATTGTTGTAGTGACAGCAGGCCAGCTGGCAGCCGAAGTGGGAAGAGGTGCACGCCACGCAGAACTCCAAGAGGCAGAAGAGCAGCAGCACAGCAGAAATAGCAACCCCAGGGTTCTGGAAACAGAGGGAATCAGGAGGACTCGAGTGCCGGACTGGACATCCGGCCGACCCTGTATCATGGCTCTGTCGTGGACCATCTCTATGGCTGTGGGGATGTCTCCCACTGCCTCTTAGTCTTAAGGGGGAAAAGATGTCTCTGGGCTTTTGGGAGGCTCATATGTGGGTGGGAAATGTCATTTTGCCACTCCTCCCCAGGGCTTCTCTAAGGAAAGGAAAGGAGGGTCATTGTTTAGGGAAACACCTCGAGAGGGCATTTCAGGGGCGTTTTCTGAGCAAATGGGTTTCTAGCAAAGAAGAGACAGAACTTCTATGTCAGAGGGGTCACCCTGGCTACTGCGCTAATAAGAGCTGTGACAGGAGACATGCAGTGTCTTAGCCAGAGTGGCCATGGAGGAAGTAAGGGACATGGCCTGATTCTGGATACATTTTGAAAGAAGAATCAAACACAATTCCCCGAGGAAATGGCTGTGAGGCGGGGTCAATGATTATTCCAAGGTTCTGTCCCCAGATCCTGGAGAGATGACACTGCCTTTGATTGGAACAAGGAGAACCAAGTAGAGAAGGTTTGGAGGTCAGGTCTGCCCATGGGGACACTGAGTGCAAAGGTTAACTACCGATGTGACAGACTGGAGCGTGGGGTAGAGGAATCGGCTGGAGCTGTGCATTGGGGTGTCATTGTCACAGAAAGGTGTTTCAAGTCCCCACATTGGATGAGATTGACAAGGCAGTGTGTAGAGAAAACAGGAGAGGACCAACCATGGGGCCTGCGAGGTGGAGGGGAGATTGGCTGGCCGGAGTGGGGCGTGGCCGGAGCGGGGCGTGGCCGGAGCGGGGCGTGGCGCCAAGGGAGGGCCTCCGACTGGGTTGACTGGGGGCTGGGAGCAGAGCAAGGTGTTAGAGAAGTGAGGCTGAGAGTCTGATTGGGTGGTTTGAGAGAAAATGGGAGAGAATTGGAGATGGTGAGCACAGGCGGGTTCTGTGAGGAATTTTCTGCAAAGAACACTAAAGAAATAGAGTGATCATTGACTGGGGAAGTGGGACCAAAGGAAGTTTTATTTTTTTGTCTTTTAAGTTGAAAGAAATAAGACCGAATCTCTATGCTGCTGGAAATGCTCTAGTAAGGAGGGACTCGAAGATGTAGAGGGTAGATGGGAGAGAGGGAGAGGGGGTGGGGGAGGACTTGGGCAGTTTTGCAGATGGGGGACAGGATTTACAGGGGACACAGCTCATCTATGGCTGGCCTGTTCGGTTAAGTAGCCACGATTCCCATGTGGCTACTGAGTACGTGACATGTGGCTATTAATCAAGTAGAGATGAGCTGTTAATGCAAAACCATATACTCGGTTTCAAAAACTCAGTGCTCAAAATGCAAAATAGTAACTTCATGATCTTCCACCCCATGACTTGTGTAATTGACAATTTGGATATTTTAGTTTTAACAAAGTCTATTATTGAAATTAGTTTCCCCTGTTGCTTTTTTCCCCTTAATGTGTCAACTAGAAAATTTAAAATCTCATATGTAGCTTACATGCTCTTCCCCCTGAACAGTGCCAGTCGATAACACAGGTTAGGGAATAGGGTCCAGGGGCCCAATCCTGCAGCTGCCTATTTTGTAAATAAAGTTTTATCAGAGCACAGCCATGCTCATTCGTTTGATGTTTTCTGTGGCTGCTAAAGGCCTGCCGTAGCTGCAACAGAAATCATTTGACCCGTAAAGCTCAAATACTCTCTGGTGCTTTGCAGAAAGCATTTGCCAACTCGTGCTCTCTGATAAGGGGCAGGGGGGCCCAGAATGTGAGAGGAGGAGGGACAGGCTGGGTGCATGAGCCATCCTGCTGAAAACTCCCAACATGGACCCAAGTATGTACTGTTTTATAAAAGCGGTGACCAACATTGAGAAAAGTCAGGGACTTTAAACTTTGATTCTGACAGCAGCTTCTTTGCCCTCAGTGCTCGGAGAGGGAATTTTGATTGTCAATCTCTTTCTGGCAGTTTCCTAAACAGAGCTGGGTCAGATCCAGAGGACCCTGGTTGGGAGGGATACTCACCACACCCCAGTTATAATAGGGAGGATAATAATTAAGGTTGGCATAAGTTCTGACGAGGCTTATATCCGTGATGAAGAGTATGATTCCCACCGCAGAACAGATGGCGCTGAAGATGTTCAAGCCCACGCTGCTGTTCAGCTGAAGATGACACAGAGGGTCAGGGTGGGAGGAGAAAACGATTCTAAGATAAGCAGAGACTCAACAAGTGCCCTACCCCAGCCGATATTTTTATTGTGTTAAAATGTTCTTAACATCAAATTTACCAATTCAACCATTTTAAGTGTTATGGTTCAGGGGTATTAAATCATTTATATTGTTATACAACCATTACCACCAGCTGTCTCTATACCTCTTTTCATCAAAAAGTGTTTCTTAATGTGAATCCCAGGAGCCCTTGTTCTCCAGCAAGTAAAGAAGTGTTCTGTGTAAAAAGGCTCTGAGGTTTAATTATGGCTTTAAAAAAGGGCTGTGTAGAATAAAGATAAATATATATATATATATTTTTTTTCTGCAGGATTTCTCAGAGCCTTTGATGAGAATGGTGGATATTCCAGAGAGGGGAAAATAAAAGAGATGTTCCCAAGTTCATCTAACTATCTTTACAGAGCATATTGCTGGACAAGTGTTCCCCAGGTTCATCTTGGGGAACCCCCTACCCACTTATCCCGTAGGAGACAGGCAGGAATCTCAGCGCAGTGTCTGGGGATGTGATGGGCTTGGGTGCTCCATGATTCTGGCCCATGTGCAGAAAGATTTTTCCCAGACATTTTAATGATCCATTTGGAGATTTTCAAATTCATCTCATCTGATTTAGGGACCTGGTCCCCTGAGACCCCAATCCTGGAAAAACCTGTTTGTCAGAGAAATGAAGGTACCATCTTGGTCCACTGGGGGGAAGAACTAAGCCCTGTGCACATTGATGTTTCGAGTTCAGTTGGCTGGATTCCTCAGGGAAGTGGGTGCTGGAGGCTCCCTCAGCCCCCCAGGATTGGCCGGAGGTCTGCTTTGTGGGCCGCAAGCATGCTTGGCTCCTGGCTCAGTAGAGGGGAGGCCAGGACTCTGGGGAACACTGTGTCCCCTGTGAGGGCCTTTTGAGGATGCTCTTCATTCCCTCCCACCTCTCTCCTGACTTTAACTGAGCTGACTGTGTTGTTCCTTCCCTCCCCTGAGTTATCTGGGATTTTCCCACTTGGCCTCCAGGGCAAGGCTCACGAGGCCTCACGCAGTGGCGAGCCTGTGCGTGGGAGCCCTGGGTCTGGTCATAGGAGGTCAAGGAGGGAGAAGGATTGCATGGTAACCTTTTCCCTGGCACCTGTCCTCCATAGGTCCCTGACTGGGAGACACAGTCTGAGGACGTAACTCACCAGGCAAGAGGAATTGGGCTGATTTTCTGCGGCCACCGAGAAGGATCCTGAAATGATAAACTGGTGCAGAAGAGAGGAGGTTTAAAAGGGGTCGAGGGTTAGAGCACCCTGCCTCAGGTGTCTGGGATTCTGGGAGCACACACTGAATTCCTTTGCAGGGACCATCGGCTCAACATGAGGGACAAAATAAATGAGCTGATTGGCACCGCGTACAGGACAGAGAGGTGATAAAAACAAGTGTTAGGATCTGGCAGACCTGGTTTTAAACGGAAACTCATATGATCTTGGGTAAGCTATTAATTTCTCTAAGTCTTTATTTCCTCTTCTGAAAAATGGGGAAATTTGCTTCTGTTGTTAGGCATCACTGTCATGAGATAACTTATACCCTGCCTCTGGCACGTGGTGTATCCCACACATAGCAGACGATCAATAAACGTTAGTTTATTTCCTTGTCTTTCGTTTCCCTACATGTGCACTTGGCTCTCCAGTCTTTGTATTGTGTTCCATGAGGTTTGGGGCTCTGGAAGGAAGAGGGAAAAGACTGCCAGCATCTTCTCTGCTGCCTTTACATTTAAGCCCTGAAATAGTCTTTGCCTGTCTATAGACCTGGACTGTATCTTTGGGTTATTTAAGTAAGTGCTGTGCCTCTGATGCTGAGGATGGTGGTGCAGACTGTGTGCATTTCCTTCCAACCCTGGTATCCTGCAGGCCTTGGGCCTGATGGGCTCACTTGCCATCCTTTGCCTAGTGTGGTGGCAAAAGTGCTCTGAGAAGCATGAGCTAGGATTTGCTGAGTGCTATTTTTTTGTAAATGTTTTCAGTGAGATAATTTACATACTATGCAATTCGTCTATTCAAAGCATATTATCCAACTATTTTTAGTATATTTATGGAGTCCTTGCAACCATCACTATTATCTAAGTTGGGAACAATCCAGCAACCCCAAAAGAACCCCACACCTACTAGCAGCCATGTCCTGTGACTCTCTCCCCCCACCACATGAAACACCTTTTAAGCCCTGCATCAGTTAATTGCATGACAGCTGACCTAGTGGTTATTTTTCCCATTTTAAATATGGGAATAGAATCTTTAGGCATGTGCCCCGAGTGGACGCCGTTGGCTGCAGTTAAAGCTCACTCTGCCCGTTCCTGCTTCCCACGGGGGGATGCTCTAGTTTTCTACAAGTGGAAAAGCAGATCTCAATTTCATGGCCTTCCTTTATAGAGACTTGACAGGAAGGGAGGAAAGGGCTGGGCCTGGCGTGTACGGCCAGTCCTGAGGGGCCAAAGGAAGGGTCTGGCCTTGGGAAGAGGACATGAGAGACCGTTGGGAAGTAGAAGCAGAGTCCTGGCCTCAGAGAGACAGGGCAGAACCCTCCAGAGGAAAGGGGGAAGGCTGCGGGGACTGCAGGGCCCTGAGCGACCGGGAGGGCGGTGGGACGACAGCAAGGCACACCACAGGGGCCCAGGCAGCCCCCAGAGCTCCTGAACACTCCGTGGAACCCGATGCTCGTGGCAGGCGGGCTGCGTGGCTGTGATGTTACCATAGCCCCAGACTCCACGAGGGTCCAGGTGCGGGCACAGGTGTCTGTGGGTCGTTGGAGGGGGGAAGGGGCTGGGGCTGGTTTCCAAGTGTGGGTTCGTGCAGAGGAGAGAGAGCCCACCCTAGGACGAAGAGCAGTTGGAGGGAAGAAGAGGAGCAGGGGCTCAGAGGGAGACACAGCTCTGTGTTCTGAAGACCCTGTGTGGCTGTGAGGAGGGGGTTCGGCTCTCGGCTCTTAACTTAAATGCTATAGGACATTTAAGTGATGTAGGACAGGCTGGCCAGGCTGACATCTAGGTTACTGAGGCGTTTTGCTGTTTGTGGGAGAAGTCACGGTTGAGTCACAGGTGGGGGTGTGGGTTAAGGGAAAGGCTGTGTAAGAGAAGAAGGGAGAAAAAGAGAAAGGTAGGTGGAGAGGGACAAGCAGGCCATGTGTGTGTGTGTGTGTGTGTGTTTAGGATGCCGGTGAGAGGATGAAAGAATCACAAAGGCTAAGCTGGAGTAGAGGAAGGACTGGGGTTCTTAACCTTTTATGGAGTCACAGATCACCCTGAGAATCCGATTAAAGCTATCGACCTTTCCAGAAGAAAAAAATGCATGTCTAATTATACTAGATATTTTGCCAAGATGGGGCCTCCAGAGCACCCCCCCACTTGAGCACACAGACACTTGCTCTCCTCTGGCTGGAGAGCCTCTGCTCAAAATTGGCAGTGTTTTGTTGCTGGAGCTCAGGTTTTTGGGACCCTGTGGAGCAGGACCTGAGGACCTAGTCCCTCACGTCTCTTTTGCAAGTGGATGTGTCTTCGTGAATTAAGAAAAGGAGCCACCTCTGGGCTGATGAACTCAGAGAAGGTTCCCTGGTCGCAGTGAATAAGAAAGACAACCTCTTTGGGTGAATGCCACCCACAAAGCTATGACTTGATATCATGGGTTGGATTGTGTCTCTTTTCCAAATTTCATATGCTGAAGGTCTAACTTCCAATACCTCAGAATATGACTGTAATTAGAGATAAGGCCTTTAATACGGCCTAAGGATAAATGTGGTCATCAGGGTGGGCACTTGTCCAATTGACTGGTGTTCTTATAAGAAGAGGAAATTAGGACACAGGCCCAGAGGGGACCCATGGGAAGGCCCAGGAGGAGGAGAGATCTCGGGGTGAACCAATCCAGCTGACACCTTGGACTTCTGGCTTCCAGAATTGGGAGGTAACATTTCTATCCTGTAGGCCACCCATTTGGTGACACTTTGTTGCAGGAGCTGTCACAATCTATGCACTTGGTGGATGGGGACCTTCTGCAGGGGGACAGGCTGCACACATTGACGAGGTGGCCCTGAGCACGTGGGCAACTTCTGGAAACTCAGTTGTGGGCGACTGGAGTTCCTTACCCAGATGCCTCCCCAGAAGGGGAAGCCCCCATAGAAAGAGATGGACACGTAGTAGCCCGAGAGCACGGTTGCCATGATGGAGCCCAGGCCGATGTGCACCAGGCCAATGAGGATCTGGAGGGCCTGTAGGAGAACCACAAGGAAGCTTTTGTGTCTGTGGCTGGACCCTGCCTCCCCCCGTGAGCCTCTGTTTTATTTTAGTAAATGTTTGGTTTTCCAGGTTTCAAAGGTAATATGGGAAATACGAAAAGGAAACAAGATCTACGCACAATTGACTCCCACCTGGAGAAAACAAATATTTACATTTTGTTGTATAACCTTTTGTTATTCCTTTCCAAATATATACCTTGGTAATAAGATACAATATACAATATACCCCAGAATTGCGTTTTGTTATTTTAATATTTCATCATGAACATGTCCCCAGGACATTAAGTGTGGAGGACTCCCCAGATTCCAGCCTATGAACGTTCGGAAGAGCAGGTGTAACAAGATTGGACAGGTGAGATAGTTTCTAGTTTTTTTGTATTACACATTACATTGTAATGAATATTTCTGTATGTAAAATTTTTCCCTTATCTCTATTTTATTTTGTTTTAGAATACTATCATGGTTTGAAGTATACCTCCTTCTGTTCCTCACCAAATTCATAAACAGTAGTTCAAACCTCCTGTATCTAAGAATGTGACCTTATTTGGGAATAGGATTGGCATGGATAAAAAGATGAGGTCATGCGGGACTAAGGTAGGCCCCAATCTAACATGACTGGTGTCCTTATTAAAAACAATACCATTTGAAAATTGTATAGATCTTGCCATAAGACCATGAGCTACCAGATGCTAGGAGAAAACCCTAGAATAGATTCTCCCCTACTGCTTTCAGGGGGAGTATGACCCTGACAACATGTGGTCTCAGATATCTAGTCTACAGAATTGTGAGACAATACATTCCCTATTGTTCTAAGCCCTCTACTTTGTGGCACTTTGTTATAGCAGTTCTAGAAGGCTAATACATATACATTTTTTCATAAATGGCATCTATCTATCTATCTATATCTACACATCTATATGTATGTTGTATACCACAAACATGGTATGGTACCAAATATAAATATATTATTTCCTTAATTTTATACAAATGATAGCAATTATACACAATGTCTGATCCTTACTTTCTCCAGTGAGCAATGCACCTTGAGTGTGTCTCTATTGTTACATAAAGAGTCTCCTTGTTCTTTTCATAGCTCCACTATATTTAATTCAATGGATGTACAATCCAGTGATTTAACTGGTGTTCTGTTGATGGCTATTTTGGTTGTTTCCATCCTTTTGTTTTTACAAACTGTTCTGCAATGAATATTTCAGAAATATTCATTTCTTGTAGGCATATTTGGAGAATGAAGAATCAGAAATGGAATCACTGGGTATTTTGTAAAATTTTCAGAGGCAAATCGCCCTCCATGGAGACAGTATCAATTTACACTCCCATGAGCAGTATTTGATTGTGGGGCCAGGATCGGGACATGGGCATTCTGGATTAGAATTCATGCATGTCATCATTAGGCCATCCAATGAAACGGTCCTCCTTTGTCCTACCCACCACCACTTCTCAGGATTTGTTGTGGTTGTTTGGTTGTCTAACTTTCCTTTGTCTGCTCTACTGGGTGAAGGTTTGATTTCATCACACTGGGCTTTGACTCCACTTTGTGGTTTACTTTGTCTTTTGGGACTCAATTTCTTCCTGAGACACTGTGGACCCACATGGACATCAGCAACAGAATCTACATTGACGGGCACTGCTTTATTTTGTTGTTGTTGCTTTTCTTCCTCTGCCCTAAAATGTCTACATCAGAAAATAAAAGGCTTTATACTGAGGTCCTTGGGGTTGTCCACAGCTGAGTTTTCTAATAAGCGTGGGTTGGGCAGGGCCATCTCAGCTCCAACCCCACCTGTTGGATGAGGTGCATTTCCCAGAATTCCCCTTGGCTCCCCAACATCAGCCCATGGCCACTGGCCTGCAGATTGAGATTCCACTTACCCCTAAGACCTTGCCTTCTTTCAAGACTCTGTGGGGAACCAGGCAATTCACACTTGACACGAAACTGGAGGGGTTCCCAGGAATCAGGTGGACTTGAGGCTGGTTGTTTGGATATAGGGGCACCTGAGACACAGCTCCTGGGAGCACAGGATAGCCATTGTGGGGTGCCACCACAAACACAGAATTGGCCATGGGGCCTGCTGGAGTCGTTGAATTCATGCTGTTAAAACCCAAAATGTGAGAGAGTCATTATTTATGCACTTATGCTTATGTTTAAAAAGAACTGTAGAGGCTGGGGATGTGGCTCACGCGGTAGCTCGCTCGCCTGGCATGCACGGGGTTCGATCCTCAGCACCACATAAAAATAAAATAAAGATGTTGTGCCTACCGAAAACTGAAAATAAATATTTAAAAAATTCTCTCTCTCTCTCTCCCTTAAAAACAAATAAAAATAAAAAGAACTGTAGAAAAAAAGTAATTGAGAAGGACTTTGGCTTCTGCTCATCTGAGCTTCTCAGAGGAGTTTACTAATCCCCTTTTAGAGATACTATTAGACGCCAGGTACCGGGCAGCTTAGACTCCCAGGCAGTCAACGCTTTACAAATGCATCTCCTTTAACCTTCACACTTGCCAGGTTTCACTGACGAGGAAAGGAAGGCCTGGGCAGGTTTAGTGCCACCAGAAGGCAGAAGCTCTGTCTTTTCCATTTTTGTGTGTCTAGCAGTGTTTGGCGGGATGCTCTGTTTATACTAGTTCTACCCAATAGTGGAATGCCAGAACTGGAAAGTATCTAGTTGGAGAACGGAGAACATTGAGCTCAATTCTCTGATTTTCTGGAGAAGGAAACCAAGGGTGGGAGAGCGAACATGCATTCTCCAAGGTCCCAGTCACATACATTTTAGTTGAATGGAGGTCGTCCCTCTCAAGGACAGCACAACGCCAGTGCAGCAGGTGCTCATCGAGGGGATTATGTTGCTTAATTTTCTAGGCCACTTATGAATTCTGATGTGGCTTTAACATTTTCTTTTTTTTCTCTTTCTTTTTTTGGGAGCAGACCCATGAAAGCTAATCCAATCAACCCCTGTGAGGGCCTCCGTCCACTCTCAGACTCCCCGCAGATCTCATTTGGCAAAAAGCCTTATCACTGTCCCTCGGTGATCCATAGAAACCACTAGATTCAGCAAACTCACCTTGCTCTGCCAGCAGCCACGACGTCTCTCTTGCTCCTGTCTCCAATTCTTTGCTGCAGGAAGCTGGTTTTCCGAGAGAGTGAACGCACTGCGTGCAGTTGGGTGGTACATATAGAAGGATACAAAGTCCTCCTCACTTATTTTCTTGGGTGCAGGCCAGGTCACCAGCTGCTTAAGAGCTCAGGTTCCCCATTCATGTTTGCTTCCTGTTTTGGTCCATGAACCAATGACATACAGTTCGACTTCACAAGTGTTTGCTGGTATCGACGCGGAGGAGAAAGGGTGGTGCTTGGTGCTCTGGGAGACCCAGGAATGCCCAGAGCACTCAGGGCCCGGGGTACTGAGCCCTAACAGAAGCCAGAATGATATAAACACCAGCGTTGAGAGATGAGTGTCTCCCATGAGAACAGAGGAGAAAATGACACATTGGATTTGAAGACATTGGAGATTCGGAGTCAACGAGGTGCAATGGGAAAAGGGGTGGAGTCACAGCCAGAGATTAGATCTAGTCGGATCTAAGTCAGAGCCTACAGAAAATCAGACAGGCATCCAACAGATCCGTGTCGTCGATCCTGTGAATTTAACATGCCCTCTGGATAAGAACTGCTGCGCCAGACCATGAAGCCCTGTTGGACTAGTCCAGAGCACACTGACCTTTGTATCCTCGTTGCCATTCGAAAGGCACTCGATAAATGCGCACCGACTGAGCATCTGAAGCTGGTGGGATGGACAGAACTCTGGGAGCTGGTCAACAGGAAGAGCAGGGCAGGCAGAGGCTGTGGAAGCGGGAGGAGAGAGGCCGCAGGGCGTGTGTTGGGTGTCTAATAGTGAGGGAGATTGAAAGGAAAAAAGGGTAAAAAGTAGAAGGAGTCTAACCCATAGATGGAGTCTTGGTCCATTTTTCTGTGAGATTTCTGGATCTTTGTCCTTCAAGTTTTAAGAGTTCTTTACATGTAAGGTACACTAGCTTTTCATTTGTGGAACATTTTCTCCAAGTTTGACAATTGTTTTTTGACTTGTGTTGTTTTCTTTGTCATGAAAATTTAAAAATTTTGTGTAGTAATACTTCTCCCTCCCTCCCTTCCTTCCTTTTTTGGGTACTGGGGATAGAACCCAGGGGCACTCAACCACTGAGCCACATCCCCAGCCCTATTTTGTATTTTATTGAGAGACAGGGTCTCACTGAGTTGATTAGGGCCTCACTGTTGTTGAGGCTGGCTTTGAACTTGTGATCCTCCTGCCTCACCCTTCTGAGCCGCTGGGATTACAGGTGCGCACCACAGCTCCCGTCTATCTTTTGTCTCATTTCCTATGACTTTTGAGTTGATGTTAGGAGGTCTTTCCTAACCCCAAGATTACATAGGACTTCACCTGCACTTTCTTCTGATATTCTATGGTTTTTTTACACCACCATTCCTAATACACTTAGAGTTTTTTCTTATGAATGGCATGAGACACAGACCTAATTTCATACTTTCCCCAAAGGCTACTTAGTTTGTCCCAGAATAATTTATGAAACAGTCCATTTTTAACTCTAGTGCTTCGAAATGCCACCTTTGTCACATGCTAAATTTCTTTACGCATTAGGGTCTAAATTTTGTCTTTTTCTTCTGTGCCACTGACCTGTTTGTCTCTTCATGTTATAACAGTGTTTTAATTAGAGAGGCTTTAAAGCACACTTTAATATCTGTTAGGGTGAGTCTCCCTTGTAATTTTTTAAAATTATTTTTCTGGCTATTCTTGCATGTTTGTTTTTCCAAATGAACTTTAGCATTAATTTGTCCAGCTCCATAAAATCACCTAACAGCTTTGTTGAAAAGGTGAATGCCATGAACCCACTTGTGTTGAAGGAAGTAATAAGAGGCAGCTGAGCAGGAACAGTTAGCTGACCAAGCCCTACTGCATGGTTCTCTTGGGGACACGTTGAACTGGCTCTTACAGAGGATGGAATTTTCCATCTCTTTATTGACTTCCTAGAAATGGTGCCAACTCCCTAGAAGAGCCTAGAGACATGGGGGAGAGGAATCATATCCAAACCTCCAAGAGCAAAGACTGCTGATGCCCCAGCCCTATCGCCTTGGTCCACTCTGGACGTCATCTTCAGACAGTGTCCATATCTACAGATAATTCTCTTCTCTCTTCCTGAGGATACTCTGGTGGGGGGCAGGCCAAAGGTTCTGGAAAGTTAATACCCCAGGAAATTTTATTAACCAATAAAATATGGGTATGCTGAATAATTACTCTAAATTCCCTGCCCCCTCCAACAGGGATAGTTCTGGGGTGGGTTTCACCTTTCTTCAACACAATCCAGCCTTGGTTGCCCCCAGTAGTAGCACACCCATGAACACATGATTTTTTTGGCTTTGCTCCTTCCTCCCTCACTTTTCCATGTACTCCTTTCTCAGTTGGTCTTGGGATCACTCCTCTAATGAACTACTAGCAGCAAATCCTCATGTCAGTGTCTGCTTTTGGCAAAACTCAAGCCAAGCACTCATTGTCTATTTTTTGAAATAACTATCAACAATAAGGGAAAATAAGAGACTTTTAGGATTGAAATAGGTTGTGGAGGTTATATGTCTAGTTTAACCCTTCCCATCCTCCAGATGGTGTTCCTTTCTCTTCTGTGGCTTCCCTCCAATGCTAAAAATGTCCAGGGATGGAAAACTTGTTGTTACCTGCCTCAGTCTGGCTGGGCACAAAATCACGAGCCACCACACACCTTGTAGATTCAAACAGCAACTCTTTATTCCCGAACTCACACCGGCACTCTACACACGTACACACGTTCTGGGCAAATCCACGTTCTGGATCCCAAATACTCTCTGAATCCCTGGAGAACTCAAGGGGAACTCAAGGGGAACTCAAGGAGCGGGCGCGCCTGAGGCAGCAGGATACGCCCTATTCCCAACAGGGTACACCTTAAACCTGGAACCGCCCTAAACCCAAGGAGCGGGATACTCCCTAATCCCAGCAGGATACACCCTAAACCTGGATCCGCCCTGGTCCTTGAGCAAGGTCACCTTACATGCAATGTCACTGCATATGACCTGGGTCATGCCATGCGTCATACCTACTTGGCAATGGCCCTCAGCAGCTACCCTCAGTTCCCTTGCTGAAGGTCATGGATGAATTATCTTTCCCTATCCATTTAGAGAGAACTGAGCATTTCCAAAAGTCTCTTTACACTGATCCCACCTGCGATGGTTAATTTTATGCGTCAATTTGACTGGGTCCAGGGGTGCACAGATTAGAAATGATTTCTGGATGCATCATAGAGAGTGTTTGCAGATGAGATTAGCGTTTACACTGGTGGACTGTCTGAAGCAGATTGTTCTTACTGTGGATGACTTCATCTGATCTGTTGAGGGCCTGAATGGAACTACATGTGGAGGAAGGAAGAATTCACTTCCCCTGCTTTTTTCCCCCTGTTTTTCTACTTGAATTGGGACATCTCGTCTCATGTTCTGCCCTTGGACTTGGATTTACACCATTGGCTTCCTTAGTTTTCAGGCTGTGGACTTGGATTGAATCACACCATCAACTTTCCTAGATTTCTGCAGATGGCAGATTTTGAAACTTGTCACTTACCAAATCACATAAGCCAATTTCTGTCTATCATGTATGACTATCCCCCCACCACATTGCTTCTATTTCTCTAAAGATCCACTCGTGAGGGGCATGCTTGATGGCTTAGGCATCCTTTCAGGCAAAATGTGTATGAAATGCATTATTATATCACCTCTGGCTCCAGAAGAAAACAGAAGGAAGTCTTTAAGTGTTGAAGTATGTAGTCACTTTATAGAAATGTGGGCAGGGTCATTGGAAACAAAAGGGATGGGAACACACCTGGAAACCAATAATAGGAGGGAGATATTATTTCCCCTAAGCCTTAAGGACCAAGGGGTGGGGATCATGTTACTGTAGCCAAAGACACGAGCTGCCTAACAGAAAGCAGGGCCTTTGATAGAGGGACATGGCTACTGTCAAGACTGTGACCGGGAATAGGGAGGGCAAATAAGTACACTGACTTTCCTCTCCGTCTGATTTCTGACTTTGTCAGATGAACACAGCTAGGTAAATAAGAACCAGTGAGTGCAGATGGTGTGGCCAGGCTCCACGCTGCAGAGCAGGACAGAGGAGGACTCGCTGGCCGTCCTTCATCTTCCTCTCCAGAGCTCCCCTCCATCCTTCTCCCTTTGTCCCTGGGGACTGGTCCTGCATGCATTGTTAGATGCTTAAATCAGGTCAAGCATATCCGTCTCCTCAAATGTTTATCATTTCTCAACCTGAGGATATTGCTCTATCCATGTTTTCTCTGCCTTCTGCCCACACTTTTGTAAAAAGTCTCCCTATTAAATGTTTCTTCAATTATCCCGAGTGGATGTTCCATCTGAGTCTTACCTGACTGCTGTAAGCACAGTAAATGGATCTGGAGGACAGATGGACATGACCCTCCCCTGCCCCACAGTGGAGGTGACCTTGAGTCTCTGACTCGATTTTCATAGACAACACAAGACTCTCAAAAATTGCGTGATGAATTTCCTCCCCCCTGGAGAAGACCTGGCTTATGGACAGCTCAGGACAACTGTGTGAATGGGATCATAAAAATCAAATTAAACATTTCTTCTACTTTGGATATAAAGGAGTGTATATAATTTTCAACTTGCCCAATAATTTAAAATTGTTTTTCTCTTGTTAGAGTAAATTCTGTCCCCTTTTGAAAAGCTGTAGTAAATTAAGAGCTAAGGTTGGGGTATCCATGAGCATGCTGGAATAGCAATGGATTTTGATCTTTTTGATTTTAAAGACTTGTATCTTCAGGGTCTGCATATTTCCCAAGGAAATAACATTGGGAAGAACTGATGTGTACAAATGCAAATAAGCTCAGTTTATAGATTTCTAGAATTGTTAACTTTAAAGGTGTAGAGTTTCCTGTTCCCAAAAGGAAAGCAGTGTTTTTATTGTCAAAGCATTAAAGGTACAGAAAGTGTCTATTCTTCAAGATTAATTTTATCAAGGACAATAAAGAAAATATTTCCTTTAGGAAGTGACATTTGTATTGGACTGATAGCC